ACGCTCCAGATCTCTGTCCAGAATAAGAAGGATGCACTAAGCGCAAAACGAATGGAGTTGTTAGTTGCATCGATGTCACAAGGGATGCCACCAAAAAACAATTTCAAAGCAAAAAAAAAAAAAATTATGTGACGTATTATCATTTTTTTCACTAAGGATAGTGTATTTTGCAAAGAATATTTGCTAATGCGAAAATGAAAGCGGAAGGATTATTTTACGCAGTAAATTACGGTTATCTTGGCCACTGCGCATTTTTGATGTATTTATCGTCTTTTCGTAAAATAGCATGCAACGTGGAAATCGGCAACTGTAATTTACTTGTCTGAAGGTAAACTAGTAGTGGGCGAGGAAATGAAAAACAAAATTTTTTCTAAAAAAAAACAATAAAACTAAGACTCTGAATTCCATGAGGTGAGAGGGGTAGCACATTTGCGCTACAGTTGTGCGAAATTAAGCCAAAAACTTGCAGCATTTTTACGCGACAAGGCGAAAAAGTTGCGACACGTGGAAGAGGACAGGCAAGAAGGTAGTGAAAATTGAGAGGCATATCCTTACGAACGATACTGCATGCAAAGCAAGAACACTGGGCCACATATGTACCTTTTGACTCTCGCAATTCGGATCACAAGAGTGATTAATGAAACGTGAAACATTTCCGCGCAGCGTGGCATCAATTACAGCACCATTTTTCAGCGCCATCAAATAATGATGAACATGTTTCGGGTCTTTGCCGTACCTAAAATGTCTCGTATTTAACAAAAATAACATATGAAAAAACCAACTTTAACTGGTATATTTGGAGTGCTGCTGCCAACTTCTTTTCAAGCAACTCTCGAAAGAGGGAGCCATCTACAGTACTGCCAGTGCCTCTTTGCTGCTGGCACACTTAAAACACTTTCGAGTGCCGCCGCCATTGACTTTTAACAAAATCTTGGGTGACGTGGTAAAAAAAACATACTTTAACAAATAGCCATGTAAATTTTAGTGGAAAGATCATAAGGTCTAAGATAAAAAAGGTAAAAAAGCAACATAAGTCCTGTAAATGCATTATCGAGATACTAAGAAAACTTTGAATATCTGTAGGGAGCCCCGCAACTAGGTGACATACAACGGTGCGATAAGCGCAGCAAGATTATGTCTTCCTGCCAACAGCCAAGAAGTACTGGAATTCGCGAAAACACGAAAAAGAATGAAAAGGCATCAATAAAACTGTAAAAAATCTTAATTTCTCATCTAAATAAGGATTTTTCTTTGCCAACCTGCCACGCTTCGGCACTATCTAACATTCCACGGTGTATATACCAGCCTGCGCCGATTTTTCGCAAAAGAATTTTTTAAGAAAATTAGGTGGATATTTAGCTGAAAAATTCCACTCATGTAAGCGCATCAAACAAAGGAGGTAGGCCATTGAAAATTTTCGATCAAAAGCAAATCTAAATTCTACAAATCTAAATTCTACCAAGAAAAGAGAAGACCTTGCACACATCGCATCATTTTATTCGCAAAAATATTGCAGGAACAACTGCCTTAACTATTTTTACACGTTTCTAAAACAAACTTCGAGCACTGAGCCGAAGACCGAATACAGCGCCAAATTCCACCAGCGAATTTCTTTACATGCTATCGATTTAACAAGCACCACAATTATCAGAGCTACTTAACCTACACAGATTGATTTGCAGCAAGCGTGAGAAGTTGAATGCGCAATAATTCCCCCGAATTCTAAATAATCCTGTATTACTTACCTTCTCACTTACTAACTACCTTGCCCTCCTTTGCACTCCATTAATTTTCCCTGTATAAACCCCTTCCAAAAACCCTGGTCCTAAGTTTTGGAATCAACGCGCGTTGCTGGTCTGCTTAACGCTACTAACTGGCCGCTTTGACACGACTAGCGTCCCCCTTCTGCTGAACTGCTTGTGTGGCGGCCCGGCTCGTCGTTTTATTTGAAGTGAAGCTTTTATTGGAGAATAAAGTGCTGGCACTTTTCGCTGTCTTCCGCTGCTACAGTCAAAGACCACTTGAGGACCTAACACAGGTGTTCCAAAAGCGCAGTTATACATTCCTACAGTGATAAATCTATAGTTTAATTGCAAGTGTTCTTTATGAATCGTAATGCAAAACTTACTTTTTTTTGCGACGTTTCATTTCATCGGAGTCAATAACTTCACCAACATATTCGATGATGAAACGTCCTCTAAAAATTTAAATCATCCGATTACATGGAAACTGGAACAAACAAAATACACTGTGACGCGCATCAAAGTTACAGATGTGATAATAAAGATGCCAGTGTGACTATGCTTTTTTGCAAGGCAATAAGACTGTTTGCACATAACAGAATTTTTAAAACAGTTAAGTGCGGAAAAAACGGGGAGAAAGAGCAGATAAAGTAGTGGAAAGAAGGACTGTAAAATTTTGGAAGCTGAAAGGAATATTTCAGTTCAAGTCGTATACATTTCTTACCAGTGCCACAACTGACTTGCCAATAGAACGACTGCTGGAGAACAGAATGAGTTTTGAAAAGTTAATATTATAATGTAAAATTAAGACTTTTCAATTTTTCACTGCCCAACATGTGCAAACTGTCTTCCGCGTTCGCAAAAAAGAGCTGCTAGATGAGCCATTGGGGTTGTGCTGGAGATGATTCTCGAGTTAAAGAAACGCTAACAATGGCCCAATTCGAATTTTCACTTATGCGTTCACTAACGCACTTCAAAGATAAGCATAAAATCTTTAGGTCACATCGGCAAAATTTCAGATTCCCAGTTTGGTTAGTTCCCAGAATTGCTTCTTCCAAATTTTTTTCTCTGACGTATTCATGCGTGAAAAACAGGCGCAAATGAGAGCTGAATTTGGATTCTTTGGACTGAGCCTGAATGAAGAACATCCCCGTAAAATTTCAACTTTCTACCTTT